GGAGGGAGATGAGGAGGAGACGGAGGATGAGGAGGAGGAGGAGGAGGAGGAGAAGGACGACGCCGAGGATGAGGAGGATGAGGAGGAGTCGGAGGAGGAGGAGGAGGAGGAGGAGGAGGAGGAGGAGGAGGAGGAGGAGGAGGAGGAGGAGGAGGAGGAGTCGAGGAGGAGGAGGAGGAGGAGGAGGAGTCGAGGAGGAGGAGGAGGAGGAGGAGGAGGAGGAGGAGTAAGAGGGAAGAGGAATCGTAACAAGGAGCGGCTGGGATGGTCGGAGGGAGGTGAAGGAGTCAGGAGGTGGGTGGGAAGAGGAATGCAGGGGCCGATCGCCGATAGCGGCCCGCCCAGGCCGCGTGCGTGGCGGCCGAGATGGAGCCCGAGAACGAACACATCGTCGCCCTCAGGCGGTCTGGCATCCAGATCATCGAGTGGAACGCTGCCACGCCAGTGGATGTGCTGAGGCGGCCGGGGGAGGCTGGGGGGCAACCGCAGGAGCGTAGAGGGGGGATGCTGGGTGTGATGCTGGTGGCGTCTTGCTTGCACTTGGCCCAAGACCCACTCCCCCATGGGTGCGCCTTGGGTCAGCAAGACGCCATCGGTGATCAGCAGCTGGCCCCCCCCTGCGACGCTGCTGCCGCCGCTGCCCCCCAGCCCCCAAAGATGGATCAAGGAGGAGGCCAACCAGTGGCACCACGGAGTTTCCACCACCTTCGCCGAGAAGTCACCTGTTCAAACCTCAACGCTCCCACGCTTGTCTGGCTTGTCTGGGTCGCGTCGGGCGTGTCTGGGCCTATCGTATGATATGGGGGCCCGGGGCCGTGAGCCGCGAAGCGAGTGACTGGGCACAGACTCACCCCCACCCACCCCACGTCAGCGCTGTAGGGGCACTGTAGGGGAAGTTGTCCCCCCCCCCCGCGGTCAGGGGAAGCCGACGTCGAAATCGCAACGTCCTACCCCCGAGATTTTTGGCCATTCCCCGCGAGGGCAAAAGATGTTAGAAACATCCAGGGAACAAGGGGGATGGTACAGAAGTGAATTATGGGAGTATGCTCTGTAATGTTAAGGGAAGTGGAGGAAAAGGCTTAAAGGGAAAGGGGGGGGGGAGGCTGGAGGAGAAACGGGTGAAACAGGAGGTAGTTTTCGTTGGAGCCAGCACAGGTACACCAGCATCGAGACCGCAGAGAGCGCCTGGGGAGTGCACAAGCTGAAGAACGGCATCACGGTCCAGTCTTGCCCCAACACTGGCGAGCACACCTATGACAAGCTCTACCGCAAGTTCATCAAGGATCACTGTGGCCGCATGTACTCGAGCGGCAATCTGTACGAGCACGCGAAGGCGACGAAGAAGCAAATGATGGAGATGGGCATCTGGAGACTCGGGCATGCAAGCGTCGTTCAGTCCCGATCTGATCAGGGGCCCAAGGGGCCCAAGGGGCCCCAGGGGCCCCAGAGCCGGGGCCGCAGAGTGTGAAGCCCGCCCCCATCGGTCCATCGGTCTTGGGTCCTCCTCCGAACGACTCGAAGTAGACCCTCGAGCTGCGAGTCGTTCGATCTACTAGGTCGAACGACTCGTAGATCCCTCTGGCGTGCGAGGAAGTAGCATGCGATCACACAAGCAGGACCGAATACCTTGATATGGTTGGCTCCCGCTACGGCGTCGACTACTTGAGGCCTGGCTTGAACCACGACGTCGTGCTCGAGCTGAACTACTTCGTGGTTAATCTGATGTGCAAGGAGTTCAAGAACACGATGGACCCAGAGACCTTGGGGTTGGCCACCATCAACGTGTTGAAGTTCATTGTCCCCTGGACCGAGAAGGAGGACGACCCGGAGCCCTCGCGCACAAAGTGGATCCTCAACAAGCCGACCGTGAAGAAGCTGATCGAGAGCGTCCTGAAGTGCCCGATGAGCGGCAGCGTGGTCTACAACAGGAGCGCCCCCACCGCCGAGGCCGCCGCCAAGGCCAAGGCGAAGCCGCGGGCAGCGGCTGGGCCGCCGCCGCCTGCGGCAGTTGCTGGTGCTGCGACTCTGGAGCCTGGCGTTCCGACGACGGGGGCCGCGGGCGCGCCGCCGCAGCCGGCGCTGGTGGGCTGCAGCGGCAAGAGCAGCAAGAGGAAGGCGGCCGCCCCACCAGAAGGGAAGAAGGCTGCCAAGGCGAGAGCCAAGGCGGCAGCAGCGGGCACTACCTCCGTTCCCTCTGAGCAGCTCTCTCTGAAGACGGCGGACACCAGGCAGAAGTTCTGGTGCGACGACCTCGTCGCTGCCGTGACCTCGCCGCTGGAGTTGCTGGATCGGGAGCTGGTGAACCGCGCCCACGTGGGCAAGAACCTCAACGGGGGCTTCTATTTCGGCTTCTCGGGATGTGATGGGCCCGATGATGCTCCCATGGGTTGGTCGAAGGTCAGGAAGGCGCTCCGGCACCAGGTGATCCGCGACCACGGCGCCGCGTTCAGGGCAGCGGAGTGGACGACCGACGTCAACGCCACCGCCGACGACGTGACGGACGCTGTGCTGAGCATGCTCGGTGACGATTCGCAGCCGTCAGTTGACATCATGGACGAGGGTTTCGATGCTGCGCTGCCCAAGCTCGTGCAGTTGACATCATGGACGAGGGTTTCGATGCTGCGCTGCCCAACGTCTCGTGCCCACTGCTGAGGGAGATCGAGACGATCGGCGAGGACCCAGCCACCGTGCGGGCGATGATCACATTCATCAGGGCGAACATCGGCACTACGAGCGCTCCATACCCCACGGCGTTGCAGCCGACGTACCGCGAGATCCAGACGTTGGTCGCCAAGCGCCTCATGGGGTGGGTCTCGTCGTGCAAGGAGGGCGCCGACGAGCCCGACGACGACAAGGTGGCGAGGGCCATCATCCTCGGGGTTGCCAAGGATTGCCTGGGGGGGCGAGGCTGAGACGGAAGAGGAGAGGATGACTAGGAGAAGGAGAAGGAGAAGGAGGAGGAGGAGCTGAGGAGGAGGAGGAGGAGGAGGAAAAGGGAGAGGAGAAGGAGGGGGATGAGGAGGAGGAGGAGGAGGAGGAGGAGGAGGGAGGAGGAGGAGGAAGGGAGGATGAGGAGGAAGGAAGGAGGAGGGATGAGGAGAGAAGGAGGCTAAGGAGAGATGAGGATGAGGATGAAGAGGAGGAGGAGGAGGAGGAGAAGAGGAGAAGGAGGAGGGGGAGGAGGAGGAGGGAGGATGATGAGGAGGAGGATGCGGAGGAGGAGGAGGAGGCGGCCGAGGATGATGATGATGATGATGATGATGATGAGGAGGAGGAGGAGGAGGGGGGGGAGGAGGAGGAGGAGGAAACCAGCATGAGGCGAAACCACCCCACCGAAAGGAAGTGTTTCGCGCTGTGCCCATTCGCTGGCTCGAGTTCGGCGAGTGCGTGCTCGAGATCGTGACCGCCAGGTCGACTCCTCTGGACAAGGCCTCCTGCCACGTGTTCGACACGAAAAGCCAGCTCTTTAAGTTTCTCCAGATGCGCGTGGCCTACATGAGGGAGGCATTGACCCACTTGCTCGGGGGCTGCGATAGGGTCACGCAGAAGGACGGGGACGGGACCATGGAAACAACCACGGCGATGATGATGATGATTATGATGATGACCATTGTGATGATCATGTTGATGACGATGTCGATGACGATGGTGATGCCAATGATGGTCACGTTGGTGATGGTGATGATGGATATGGTGATAGTGTGATGATGGTGCTGGTAAGGTGGCGATGCTGGCAAGAACAACGATGCTGGTAAGTTAAGATGATGGCGATGATGACGACGCTAATTGAAGCGTCCGGCGGGGCAATGACTGCTCATCTGATTCGCCTTCCTTCCACACCGTCCCTCCTCCTGTGCTCCTGATGGCTTAGGTGTCTGTCGCCTGTCAGGCTGTCAGGCGCAGCCGCTTTCTCCTCCTCCTCACTCCTCCTCCCTCCTCCTACTCCCCCTCCTCCTCCTCCCTCCTCCTACTCCCCCTCCTCCTCCTCCTCCTCCTCCTCCTCCTCCTCCTCGCCCTCCCTGGGCCCCATGGGCCGCCAGAGGAGGAGTAAGGGGGAGGAGGTGGACGAGGGGGGAGATGAAGAGGAGGAGAAAGAGAAGGATAATGAGGATAACGAGTCAGAACGAAGAGGAGAAGGAAGGAGGATTAGGAAGAGCAAAAGGGGGACGTCGAGAAGTCGACGACGATGAGGAGGAGGAAGGAAGCCGAACTGGGATCACAGCCCTGCAGGACCACACCCAAGCGCTGATGGCCCTGTACGCCATGCTGCCCGAGGTCACCAAGGCCGTGCGCCCCATCAACGATGATCTCGACGGCTACACCTCAGCCTGGATGGAGCTCTTGGCGCTGGGGTGCCCCGTCGCCGACGCTGAGGTGATCAAGGTCGGCGTGGCCGCCATGATCGCTCGGAGGCAGCTCCTCCTCCTCTCCTCCTCTTGCTCCTCCTTTCTTGTCCTGCTCCTCCTCGCTCCTCCTCCTCTCCTCCTCTTGCTCCTCCTTTCTTGCTCCTCCTCCTCCTCCTCCTCCTGCTCCTCCTCGTTCTCCTCCTCCACTTCCTCCTTCTGCCTCCTGCTGCCCTTCCTTCTTTCCCTCCTCCCTCCCTCCTCCCTTCCTCCCCCCTCCCTCCTCTCCCTCCTCTCCTCCTCTCCCCTCCTCCCTCCCTCGTCCCCTCGTCGCTCCTCCCCCCTCCTCCTTCACTCCCCCCTCCTCGGCCCTCCTCCCTCCCTGCCCCTCCCTCCTCCGTCCCCTACCTACTTACCTACCCCCCTCCTCCTGAGTGCTCCTCCTGCCTGTCTCCTCTCCCTCTTCTGTTCGTGTTAGTCTTGTTCCTCACTCGCTCCCCCCTCCCTCCTGACTCCTGACTCCCTCGCCCCCCCCTTTCCCACAGGGCCCCCGCGCCCGCCGCGGCCGCTGCCGTGGTGGCGCCCACGGCCTCCCCCGCAGCGGCGGCGTCAGCCGCGGCGGCGTCATCTGCGGGCGCGGGGTCGGGCTCGGGCGAGTCGGGCGAGGGCGCGGCGGCGACTCCCGCGGCGGCGACCGTCGCGACCGCGGCGACGACGACGGAGGGCAAGATGATGGCGGTCTCAGAGATTCGGGCCATGCACGTGCAGGGTGGGGACGACGCCATGGCGTCGCTGGTGATGAACAACCTCATCGTGTCCCTTGAGGCCCACATCGCCAAGCTCGCCTTTTTCGGGGAGCACCCCGCCACCCTCACGCCGGACACCAACTCCCACTTCGTCTACGCTGACCCCTACGGCGAGGTCCCGAAGCTGTACGTGCACAAGGGCGCGTCCGGAGTGGTGCTCAACTTGGCTGGCAAGGTCATTGGGCGGCACTCGACAACGACGACGACGACGTCGGCGACCAAGAAGACGAGGAGGAGAGGAGGACTCCATCCCCTGGCCTCCCTCTCCGTGTCTCTCACTTCCTACCTTTCTATTCATTCTCCCTAGGGTCCCTTTCCCTCGTGCGCGTGCCTCGTACCCTCCCTCCTTCGTCGCTGCTTCGCTGCCCGTCGCTTCCTTCTTGTCGTCGTTGTCGTCCTTCTCAATCCTTCTCTTCCTCCTTCTCGTTCTCCTCTTCCTCCTCTTCCTCCTCCTCCTCCTCCTCCTCCTCCTCCTCTCTCCTCCTCCTCCCCTTCCTCCTCCTCTTCCTCCTCCTCTTCCTCTTCTTCCTCATCCACTGGATGTCCACTCATGCTGCCGCGGCCCAGGTGAGCCGCACGCCGACTGCTGGTTCCGTGTACCTGACCAGCGTGAGCAAGGTCGACTTGCACGTTACCCCGATCGCCTCGTTCGACGACGACGCTTTCGTCATCGGGTGGATGGTCCCAGAGGTCACTGAGGCGATCGTGGCCGAGGAGACCAAGAGCGGTCGCGGCGTGGTGAGGTGCTCGTTGCACAAGGCGACCGCGACGTGGATCTACCAGTACCAAGACTTCGCCACCACGAAGTCGGTGACGTTGGACCTCCAGCTGTGGCAGCTGAAGCTGGACAAGGTGCCCGACGTGGAGGTCGCGATGAGGTTGGTGAGGGAGTCCTGGCCCACTGACAGTCAGGGCCCCTTGTCCGTGGCCGCGCGGCCGAGGAGCCTCTGCAAGAAGGGGAAGGACAAGGGGTCGCAGAGCAGCGGCGCAGCGCAGGGCCTGTGCGCAGCTGAGCTGAAGCTGGTGAAGCACCTTTTGAAGTAGGTGCTCCAGCTGCTCCAACCAACGGCTGTGGATTAGAACGCGCGCCCGCCCTGATAACGACGACGTCGACGAATGCGAAGAGCAAAACGAAACAAACGCAGTAACGTTCTAATCCACTGCCACGCCGGAATGATATGCGCCGCGCCTCGGGACAATGAGGCTGCAGGCTGAGCTGGAGCAGCACTGGGGGATCGCCGCTGCTGCTGGAACCTTCGCTTTCTTTTTTTGGCCCCCTGCACCCGCGGGCCCATGGGGTTTGGGCCATTGGGCCACCCGCTCTCTCTGAGAGACTCTCTCTCTCTGCCTGCTCCCCTCCCCTCCTCTCCTCTCCTCCTGCCTGCTCTTCCTCCCCTTCCCAGTCCTCCTACCTCCTTCTCCTCAGTCTCCTCCTCCTCCTTCTCCTCCTCCTCCTTCTTCTCATCCTCATCCTCGCCCTTCATCTTCAACCTCATCCTCCTTCCTCATCCTCAGCCTCAAGATGACAAGATGCTGTGCTTACTAGTTGCGCTGCTGGCGGTGGCGAGCCGCTGCCACCCGCCCAGTCCCAGCGCTCGCAGGCTCTGAGAGGTTGCCGAGCCGAGGCCGCCACGTCCTCGCGTCCTCACCCATCCCTACTCTACTATCTCTTACTGGCGAGCCCCCTCCTTCTTCTCCTCCGTCTCCTCCGTCCTCTCTTGGGGCTCTCTCCCTCCCTCCCTCCTTCCCTCCTCTTGCTCTTCCTCCTCCTCCCCTCGACTCCTCCTCCTCCTCCTCGACTCGTCCTCCTCCTCCTCCTCCTACTCTCCTACTCCTCCTCTCCTCCTCCTCCTCCTCCTCCTCCTCCTCCTCCTCCCTCCTCCTCCTCCTCCTCCTCCTCCCTCAAGCAACACTGGCGCGAGCGGTTGCAGGGAGGGCGCAGGGCTCTCCTCGCATTTTGCGCGCGACCACTCGGCCAGCCCCGCGCCGTCCCGAGGTGCTTGGGGTCTGCCTCGCCTCCCACGCGGCGAGCGTAGGCGTTCGAGGCAGCTAAAGCGGGGATGGCTTCCTCGCCTGCAGGTCGTCGGCTCTGGAGCACGTGCGCTGGGTGTCATGCACATCAGTGGAACGACGTACTGCTTCAAGAGGGCGGCGCATGCAGGAAGTGCGGGAGGCCTGTGAAATTGTTCAAGCCCAAGGGCCAGGACGTCAGCCAGCAGCAGCAGCAGGCGGTCACCCTGGTCCAACCTGGGCCTAAGCACAAGGGCAAGAGCAAGCAGCAGGGAGGTGCAGGAGGCACTCCAGAGGGCGCCCTCGACCTGCTGAGCCAGACCATTGCGGCCACCACAGACCCGACGGTCAAGCGCGTCCTGGAGAGCCAGCAGGCGATTCTCGCCGCGCAGAAGCCCGTGGAGTCGGTCGTGTCTGCCGACGAGGCCGTGAGGAAGGCCTCAGGCGCGTGGAAGGACGCCGAGGCCAAGCACGCCCAGTCCGTGGACCAGGTGCTGCGGTGCAGGGCTGCCTTAGTCAAGGCTGAGGCGCGCGAGGCGGAGTGCGCTCGCACTCTGGCCCAGGCGGAGTTCAACAAGCAGATCGCCATCAAGGCCCTCGCCAACGCCTCTGGCTTGCAGGTGCAGGCGACGGGCGACGGCAAGGCCCCTGACAAGGCCGCCGAGGGCGACTGCTTTCGCGTGGAGGTTGATGAGACCTTCTTCGCGTCCATCCAGGACTTAGAGTGCGAGGAAGGGGAGCGTAAGGAGCTCGCGGAGCTGGAGAAGCAGCTGCGCGACATGCAGACGGCCATGGCCACGAGGTCGTCCGAGGTGAAGGCCTGGGTCGAGCGGACCAAGGCCATGGAGGCGGCCATTCAGGAGCGGTTGCAGAAGAAGCGGAAGGTAGAGGCTGGAGGAGTCGCTGGAGGCGCTGAGGGCGGTGGCACCGCTGGCGCTGGCACGGCGACGGGCCCCGAGGCCGCGGCTCCTGAGGGCGCGTCAGCGCCCCCGCCAGCCGGGCTCGGCGCGGGCGCGGGCAGCAGCGGCGGTCTCTCGGAAGAGGCCTTGGCAGCGAGGGCCAAGCAGATCAGTGAGGCCAGGCTCGCAGGTGCTGACGCAGCGAGGCAGGTTGCGGCTGCGGCTCCCGCAGCGCCGAGCATGTGATGTTCGCCCGCGGCGCCCGTCCCCTTGGATGGAGGCGCCGCGGAGACATGCCCTCGCAGCGCGTCAGCCGATGGCACTGCGAGCTCGGCTGCTACTACATCGGCATCCTCAGCATCTACAGCATTTTCGGCAACTTCAGCGACAGCAGCATCATCGGCGACTGGTCAGTCCACGAGCGCGAGTACATGTACATCGCAGGGGTGTGGCACAGTGTCGGATGTTGTTATTTCTTCAGGTGATGGTGGCAGTAGCACTGGTGATTGCAGTGCGCTCTTCTTCTCGAACTGCACTTGTCTTGGGAAGAAGGCCTGGGGGCATATCCAGTCGCTGGTGTCAGGGCAATCTGATAATTCAATTGACTTTTTTGGGTTAGTGGAGACCCACATCGGAGATTCGTTGAGCAAGCAGTGGGCCACGAAGTTCCGCAGCAGCAAGCTCAAGCATGTGTTCAACTTGGCCAGGAGCACGGGGCTCGGCAACACCGAGGCCAAGCGTGAGCGTGCCAATGAGGGAGGTGAAGTTCTACTTTTTCGACAGCATCTTCAGGTTCATCGGTTTCCAATTTCGCCTGATGACGCGCCTGACTTATGTGCTGACGGTCACTCAGCTTACGACGGATTTCTTCCAGTGGTAGTGCATTTCCAGTCGTATTCCCTGGTGCTGGTCCTTGTGTACGGTTACCCGTCGGTGGGCATGAGGTGCGGCAACCATCGACGTTTTCATCGGTTAGGTGGATTTCTTCGTGCGCTACAGTTACCTTGGCTGTGCATTGGAGATTTCAATATGGCAGCAGAGACTCTTCAGAAATCTCATTTCCTCGCGCGGGTCCATGGTAGGATTCGCAAGTCAGAAGCAGAGTATACTTGTACAACAGCGAAGGGGGCCTCGCACATCGATTACGTCATCACAGGTCCTGGAGCCGAGAGTTTTGTCGTCGACCTTCGTGCCGATCATAATGTTCCTTGGGGGCCGCACTGTGGATTGCGATTGAGGTTGCGTCATAGCTGCCAGCAGTTGGTGACACGTTCGCTCATTGTTGCAGGCAAACTTCCGCAGGTGAGTCGGCCAGGCACTCTGCCCACCCCAGGCTCCAAGAGTAGCAACGCTAAAGCAGAGAAGGCGTTTCGCGTAGCCGTCGCCAAGGAAAAATTTGTCGATGAATCGCTCGAGCTCTTCGGGGACATGTTTCAGGACCCCGATGAAGAAGGTGTGCGTGAGTCGTTCCCTGAGCCAGTTGTTTCTGAGGCTTTTGCTCCCGTCGAAGGCGAGGAGGAAGAGGACCCGTGGGCCGAGGAAACCTGTTTTACTTCGGCGTTTTCTGGTCTTTCGGAGGTCGTGGAAACCTCTGGAGAACCCTTGGCCGACAGTAGTTCCTCAGTCGCACCTAGCGTCTCAATTGCAGTGTCAGTGTCCGCTGCCGACCCAGGTCCGCCCCACTTGAGTGACGAGTCTCAGCCCGAGCCCGTTTCAGAGCCCCCCAGCAACAGCAGCTTAGATAGTTCAGCTGTTCAAGCTGAGAGTGCCCCTGGAAATAATGAGCCCGTTGTTGCTGAATCGTCGCCTCGGAACCCCGAGTTCCAAGTTCCATCGGACCGTTGGGTGTTGGCCCAAACCTGTTGTGGCTCCAGCTTCATCCCATCCGATAGCAATGAAGTTTACACACACTGGTCTGCCATTCATGATTCGCTAGCAGTGCGAGTTGCAGGGCCTCACGTTCGGCACGTTTCGGCTCTGTACGCTGGTTGGGTATCTATCTTAGAGGCGACGATATCCAATCATCACGGTTTACCTCTTAGTTCTGTTTCTCGCGCTGCTGATCCCCACCTTCGGGAGCAGCGCGTACAGCAGGCGGCTACCTTCAGAGAGGCTCCTCTTCAAGACAGGGTTGCCAACTGGTGGTCGCGAGTCGTTCAAGTATTAGTGAAAGTTTCTCGACATCGTGAACGGGGTAACGGTGCCAGGCAATTAGTTTATCTTCGAGAACTTGGTGTTCGGTTGGGCACTGATTACCCCGAGGGGGTGCGCGCAGTGCTCCCTTATAACGACAGCGGTGATTGGGAGCATTGGGTTAGTTTTCTCTGCAACAACTTCAGCTGCGGTGGGAGGAATTTTGACAGCTTCTCGCAGGTGGCACAGCGAGCCGCTAAGAGAGCTGCGGCCAAAGCACTGCGGCAGTCGTTATCGGAGTTCAAAGAATGGGTGTCGTCAGCGGAAGCGTCAGGGGTACTGCACAAGAGTATCAAGGATACGCCTACGGTCACTGACGAGCTCTTTCACAATGGCGAGTATCTATTTCATCCCAAAGATGTAATCGACGCGAAAGCCACCAAGTGGCATGATTTGTGGTATGATCCTGATTTCAGCATCGACGAGTTGTGTGCCGCCTTCGCCGACATGAGGGAGTGGGCTCGCATTCAAGGGCTTGCACCTATCGACGGCGACGAGGTACGGCAAGCCGCAGCTCGGATGAAAAGCAAAGCTGGCCTTGGCGTTGATCAGCTGACGCCTCTGGACATTCAGAGGCTCCCTACTGAAGGACATGACGCCTTGGCTGGAGTTCTCAATATGATTGAAGATGCGGGTACATGGCCCACTCAATTGCTATGTGTCTTGGGTCGTCTTTTACCCAAGAAGGCGGGCGGTGATCGGATCATCGGTTTGCTGCCCATTGTGTGTCGGCTGTACACCCTCATTCGGGAGCCCTACACTAAGCGCTGGTCCACCGACACGGCGACGGACTGGGACGCTGCAGTGGCTGGCAACTCGGCGCTGCAGGAGGCTTTCTTGAAAGCAGTCGATCAAGAGTTGTTTGTGAAGCTTGGGGTTTCCAACGGGTGCGCCTTACTAGACCTCAAGTCATTTTACGATATGATCAGGTGGAGCAAACTC